GTGGCTCTGTAGCCACAATTGAAAGGGATTTACTTTAGGTTTCAAATCCATTTTGTTTCGTATCAAAATGCTGCTTCTGTCGAAAGCGCTACCATTAATTCGCGTGCAGTGTTCAAAAAGCACACTGTTCGGCTTGTGAAAGGACAAGAGATGTATCTTAAAATGCTTTGCATATTTTTCAGATATGAATTCAGCGACAAAATCTATAAGAATGGCCAATTTCAAATCAGAAAAAAATTTGAATTTGCACGAAATTGTTCTGGAAGTAGAATCACAATACCAAGAGTGTAATTGAAATTCTTAACCAGAGTCGGATTTCTCGACCGACTCGGATTTGGGAGGGGAAATTTCCCCTCGAACAAATTCGTCCAGAGGGTGATCCACACCCAGTTAGGTTAGGGGTCTAATAAAATTTTATTGTAGGCACCAGGGTTGTTTTTTTTTTAAAACGACGTTTTATTCAAAAAAGAAAAAAACACGGTTTAAACAAGTTTTTCGTACATGTTTTAATTTACATGTTTTAAACATTGTTTTAAACACTTTTAATAATTCAATACTTTCGAAATTAAGGGTTGGTAGAAGTCAAATCCATCGAAGAACTCATAAAATATCTATTAGAAATTAATAATAATGTTTAACATTGAAATGGACGTTATATAAATAAAAAAGTAGTCCTGTGTATTATTTAGATAAATACCTTAAGAGCCTTTTCACAGTACTCGGAATGACGTCGGATCGACATTTTTTCCGCCCACGTGTTGCGTTGCACACGAATACTTTCAGCATGTAATTTGGNTAATAATGTTTAACATTGAAATGGACGTTATATAAATAAAAAAGTAGTCCAGTGTATTATTTAGATAAATACCTTAAGAGCCTATTCACAGTACTCGGTATGACGTCGGATCGACATTTTTTCCGCCCACGTGTTGCGATGCACACGAATACTTTCGGCATGTAATTTGGAAAAAAAAATACAAAAAAAAACGAAAATGCCCGAAATTACATACATATATCATTTGAAAAAAAAATATCCTCTGCCGAAGACAACGACGTTATAGCTTGTTATATTTATTTTTAACCGACTTCACAAAATATATAGATATATATATATTTTTCTTTTTATGTATGTTTCCGCATAACTTTGGACCACGTTAACCGATTTCTATTATTCTTTTTTTCAAGGAAAAGTGTTACCTCACAGGTGGTCCCATACTAATTTGGTTTAAATCCGATTATTAGGTCATAAAGAAATTAACGATAATCTTAAATTTTTATATGAAAACTGAAGTGAGTTTATTTTTTGCCTCAAAACTTACTTGTTTACTGACTTTTTACTTTCTTCTTCTTGTTTTTGTACGCCGAAAAAATGTGTGCAGTCAATTTTCAGATTTTACTGACCGGTCTTACTGCAGTGTGATATGCCGAAATGAATTCGCTCCGATTTCATATATACGACAGTAATATGAAATTGAAATACATGCGGTCGGTAAACTTTCGGTAAAAAACAAAAATGTCGCTCTAAGGTCCGGCCACATACAACTTTGGCGTTGCGTCAGCTTCAGCGTCGCTTTGACAGCAGCGCGAGTAACGCCAGTGCTTGCTACAATAAATTAACATACGTACTAGCGGCAGATAAATCTATATCAATAATTGCATTAAAAACGATATTTCTTGCCCGCATTTGATTAAAAAGGAATATTATTTCACATAATTTAATTTATTTGCAACAGCTGACGCACGAGTTCGCCATCTTTCTGTTTTGCTTTTGTGTTGGCGTTGCTCAACTTTTGTTACGGCCCTTCTCCACAGTAAAAAGTTTTTACCTATCAACTGTCATTTTTATTGCCTGATATAAATTTTATCAGAGGCAATATTTGGGCGTGAGCATTTTTTTATCTTGATAAAACCATTTGTAAAATGGCTATTTTTGCCTGTTTTAATAGCACAAAAAATTTTTAAAATTTGCTATTTCACATCCAAGTACAATTTACAAAAATTTTAATAGGAAACAGCTCAATTTTTTCTTTTATATTAAAATTTAAATAATATTCCCACCAACCCTGATTATAACACAAACCACATTTCTGAACAATCAGTTGTATGGGAGCTATATGTTATAGTCAACCGATTTCGATGATTTTGAGAAAAAGTTAAGGCAATAACAAAAGACAGTCACGTGCAAAATTTTAGTAGAATAACTTTAAAACTGAGATAATTATTAAAAAAAGTTTAAATTTAAGCAAATTTTCAAGAGTGACTCAAGTTGCATCTGGCAAAACGGGGGACGCCATTGTATTAAAAAGGTCCCAGTTAATTAAGATCAGCTATCAAAGCCTTTGCCCAGAAAACAGTGTAATAAACGACAAAAATTTCACTTTCTTAGCTATAAAACTTCCCTCCTAAATATCTCAAAGTTTGAACATGATACGGATTTTCTGAAAACGGCATCATAATCTAGAGATAAAAATTTTAGATACGTGTTTGGCCTTTTGTTGTGATATTTTTGCCTCCCTAGTGTGTTATTTAACGTTTCCAAATTAAAAAGAATTTAGTATGAAAATTATTATTGTCAATATGTGCACAAATATACAGTGGATAAAAAAGATTTTCGGACGCAATTTATTGCCAATAGTCGCACATCGCTAGTATTAAACCTGATTCTACCTGATTCTTTTCAATAAATTGGGAAATTCCAAAGAAGGCACAGAAATTTGTATAAGTCCGAAATAGAAGTTCTTTAACTCTGCTGTAAAACTTAAACTGCCCTTAGAAGCTTTTTATTCTAAGCAATTGATATATTTTTTATGTCTTCTTTTTTAAATTTTGCATAAAACTAAATATAATGCTATTTGTAGTAAAATCTAGATTTATCGGAGTCTCAAATTGTGTACAAACTGTAGAAAAAATTTCAAAAATCTCATCAAAAGTTTCTAATTATGTATTGATCAAAATTTCAAATTTTTTTAATCAGAATTTTTAGAAAATTTGTTTGGTATAGATAAAATTTTATTGCGGGAAATTTTGCTACTTATTCTAATTATCTTAAACGAGCAATTTTTGTGTATATGTATATGTATCCACAAGTTTCTCGGCAAGGCCTCTAACGTAGCAAAATGAAAAATCGTTTTTAAAAGACTTTCGAAGTTGTATTTCTTCCAATTGTCAAAAACATTTTATTTGTCACGGGGAAAATACCGTAAAAATTATTTGTATCGTGCGAATATCTATAGAAATTTTCAGGGTTTGAAAAACTGTTAGCACAGCGACAACAGCCAGCATTTGCTTTTTTATAAATTGTTGTTGCTTATCTAGCCGGCAATTACAAGTACCTAATGAAGATCTTGCAGAAGCAATGAGCTTAGCCGACTACGCTTTAAAGGAATTTGAAGAAATGCCACAAGATGCAGAAAAAACTTTCATTTGCTTTTCGAACACGTAGAAGAAGTATGCACCAACCTAGGTACAGAAATCAAAGTACCGCGATTCAGCAGTCGCCAAAAGAATCCCTTTAATGTGAAAACCGGAGACGCCGAGGCATACTATCGCATTGCTTTTTACATTCCCTACCTTGATACATATATTGCACATTTGAAAAACTGGTTCCTAAACCATAAATCAGTTTTAAATAATTTTAGTGTTTTGTTTCCAAAGTATGATTTTAACGAAAAAAACTGAAGAACGTTTGCTTTCTATGAAAAAGTAATCGACTGCTCGAAACAAAACTTTCTCTGGAGGTAAAAATGTGGAAAAACGAGTTTTACACGAACATTTTCGAAATGCTCTCGAAGCATTACAAGTAGCTAATACAACGTCTTTTGGGAATGTTTTTAAGATCTTACGTATATGGCACTTTTGCCCGTTTCAATAGCCACACCTGGACGAAGCTTTTCATGCCTGAAAAGAATTAAAACCTACTTGAGAAATACAACATGTCATGAAAGACTCAACAGTCTAGCATCTGTAGAATATTCACAAAGATATATATTTTTCAGTTGACGAAGTTCTAGAAGAATTTTTCAAAAAACCACGAAAAATTTGGAAATTCTTCGTTTCATTGATTTATAAGTAAAAAGAAAAATTTATGTGTTTAAGATTATCAAAATGTTTTATAAATAAAGCGAAAAATTGAATAAATGTAATCCTTTTGACTTAAGATATTCTCTAGTTCATAATGTGAAAAGTGATCGACTTTAAACCGCACATGTAGCGCGCATTCACTAACACTGCGCCTACAATTTTAGCACATAATTAGACAGCCAAATCCTCGGTTTTTATAGCTTAATGGCTTCTTTTTTTTTAGCGCCAAACTATCACCAAAAAAGAGAAATATTAAAAATCAACAGAAATTTTGAGAAGCTTCGAATTTGCACTAAATTATACTACCACTAAATGAGCTAAAAACTACCATGTACCAAGAAATTTTCTAAAGATTTGGATTAATAAATGTTATACTATGAACTTATTTTTTTATAAATCGTCGCTGGAATAATGAAATAGTGTAACATGAAAATTATAGTTTTGAGAAAAACGAATTGGAAGTTTTTATAAACCATTACAAACCCTACAAACACAATTTCGTTTTTCGCGAATAAATCAGTGAGCCAAAGAGATATTTAAGAAAACTAAAGTTTTTTCTAATAGATTAAAGGATTGTCTATCCAATGGTGCAATTATCGAATAATAGTGTATGTGGCATTTACACTGTTTCTTTATTCGAGCGACGAAATCATGAACCAAAAAATGTTCATAAAATGAACAAAAAAATTATCATAAAAACACATAAGTAAATATGTACGAATATTGTCAATAGCCACTGTGCCAAAATTTTTTGATACATAATATTTTTATGAACATTAATATATGTATGTATGTATACATAGATATGGGCATACATACATACATATGTATGTAAACTCATCGTTCTTGAGAACGAGCAAAGTGCAGTAATTGTGTTTGATGAATTGCTTATAAAATGTTGTCATATGTTTTTACACCAGCAGCAGCAAAAACACTCCAGGCCATACATACATATATGCATGCAAGTGCTACCGTGCCACGCGCAACACATCAGATGCAACTACAATGAAGCTAGCGCCAATAACAACAACGAAACCGTAATGCAGTTGTTTGTTTTATTTATTGACTCGCCTGATCAAACTGACTGATTGCTATTAAACATGCACGATTAAGGAAGCACAAACAACAAAACAGATACAAAGGCACATGGAAAGGGAGGAATCAGAGAAAGAGAAGTTTGTCGAGCGAAGGTTAACAACGAACGAGTAGGTACACAAAAGCCGACTTCAAGCTATTGCTGGCAACAAGCCTTATCACCATGTGTTAGTTGCGTATACACATACAGCGAGTCTTTATGCAAAAATCAAATGACACGCTTTGAAAGTAAATGTTATAGTTTTCAATAAACTTTACAAAAAAAGTATATTTTATATTAATAAATACATGTACAATATTTTTTCTTGATACGACAAATACTAAAATATATGTAAGTATTCCCACATCTCAATTCATGCAGTCACATACTTATACACATTCAAGCGCATTTCCAGTAGTCACACAGCTACACAGAATTAAACAGGCGTCCATCCGAGCATCGAACTTCCAAGTCCGTTCAAAGTTGCACGTCATAAATTAAATATTCAACTTCATCGATCATTCGCCGACAAAAAGAGTTCACTCTACGACGAATATTGCTCCTTGGTTCAGTTACTACAACTTCAGCAGTTCGAATAGAGGTCACAGCACCAGCTGGAGTAGAATACCACCAAAACCAACACCAACATTGCGTCTCATATGATGGTTGAGGTTACCGGCAAGTTTAAGTTTTGTTCTTTCCCCAACGTCTTCCTTCTTTTTTTCTGTGTTGTATACCTTCACCTCGGCACGTTTGCAGCTTATACAACCTCTGAAGCGGAAACACAAACGCATTGCCCTTTTGCGCTTACAATTGCCAAGAGCGCTCCGAAATCTCAGTTCTCAATATATAATTCTGATGTACATTCGCATGTTTGTAACGGGTGATTTTTTAAGAGCTTGATAACTTTTTTTTTAAAAAAAACGCATAAAATCTCATCGGTTCTTTATTTGAAACGTTAGATTGGTCCATGACATTTACTTTTTGAAGATAATTTCATTTAAATGTTGACCGCGGCTGCGTCTTAGGTGGTCCATTCGGAA